CCTGATTTGTCTAGTATCCATTCACCCTTCACAGGGTGAATGGAATAGGGTGAAATCACCTATAATTATTCATAAGACAGAGTTTCCCGCTGCGTCAGCTTTGCTTCCATTGGTTTAAATGCCACCTAATAATATTCGTGAGCTCATGAATACGTAATGAGATATTTCAAGATGGTGTTTTTACACGGGCGAAAAACAGTTGCTCGAAAGTTAGCGAAAAGAGGGGGTAGTCGCCGACTTTAGCAATGAGATTTATGAATTTATTTGATTAAAATAACTAGACATTACAAGGGTGAGATGCTTTTTTTATAAAGACTCAGTAATTTATTGCAAAACTACAACGGAAGGTTTACAGCACATGTGCGATGGGACTTTTGCACGGCAGTGTATGTACACGTACATGCCATGCGCCATGACCATGTCGATTGAGTACGTGTCAACCACCAATCACAAAACTGAATACCAGTAATTGCATATTCATGACGCACGGTAAACGCATTCACACCAATGGCAAAATTTATACTTTGTGACGTCACAAATACAGCAAGGTACATATTCATGAAGCTCACCTCGGCAATGCTGTGTATAAAAGCACGTGCAGCTTTGTCAGTGCGGTAGGCAGAACCGACGTCAAGGCCTTTCGCGCTGTCAAGACGGGCCATCCATTGATGGTCAGTGAACGGCTGACAATTCAATGCGATGGCATGGGCGTTTCGGAATAGAAGTTTCAGACGATTCAGAGCGGCGATATTCATCGATTTCAGCATGACTTCTGCTGGGCTTGTACTAGGGGTACACTGTCTGGCTTTCTCCCGATCTACTGCGAGGCGATGGTTGTCGCTGGTCACGTGAGCGCGGATCGAATCGATCTTAAAGTTATCTGACCCTTTGTAGAAGACATTTTGCTTCTTTCCTCGGTCGCCCGTGACATTAGCAGCTCGGCATAATTTGCAGAACATGAGGCCAAGGTTGTCGTCATAAGAAAGCCACTTAAATTCTGACTCCCATTCCTTGCGGTAGGATCTTTGACGTTTAATTTGATCGTATTCCCGGTCACGATCTACACGATCACGCTTGGTACTGGTAGATTTCCCAGCCCCAGGATCAGAAACAGAGGGGAAAAATCACCACATAACTTCAGACTTGTTCACGAACCTACTTGATCTGAACTTGCAAGACAACTAAATGTTTTCAGTTAATTAACGCTACTTCTTTGTTTCCCCACATGAGATAAGTAACAGCTTGACGCATTGTTTTGTATACAAACTACTACTCCGCCGCGGTTTTTACTAGAATTTGTCTAGTGGACCAGCGCTAAGGTCGAACCCTGCATTATATTTACAAGGTTTCTTTTTGTTAGCTAAGTAGTTGTAACTCTTTGGCTTCTTTTATGTTTTTCTTCTACTATTTTCAAGCTTCTGTTGTTCTTTCTTTCCTTTATGTTCTTTTATTATTTACAATACCTATTTATTATTATAATATTTATTATAATATTTATTATTTACTCTGTCGCTTTATTTACATGCTTCTTTCTGCCTCCTTACATTCTGACTATTGGCCATGGAAGACACGGAAGCAGTCCCCCTCACACAAATGTACGTTGCACATGATACAGCCATGCCTTGTGACAGGTGTGTTGCCTGATGGGTTCTTGTGGCCAGTTCTCAGGCATCTTTTGCATCTCTTGGCCCACTTTGATGGCATCCTCTGGCAGTGGTGACTTGGCAAATCCTGTGGCTCTCTGGTCTCTGATTGTGGCTGAGCAGTCCCTCTGGAATGTCCTGCGATAAGGCCCTTGGCAACATCCATAACAAAGGAGGAGTGGCTTCGCTTGGATGATGGTTTGATGTTCTTTTGGGCACGGTGATGGCAGTATGTTATCCATGCGTTGACCCTGCAGACATCGATGAGAAAGTACAAGATTTTTCTCCACCAAAACTGGCTCTTCTTGGAGCAGGTGTAGTAACTCCGGAACTGGTCTGCACGATCAACGCCTCCCATGTACTTAGTGTAGTCAATTGCCTGCCTTGGTGCCGTCACAGTGCCAGGAACACGTCTCCCTCCTCGCTTTATCTTCCTCTGCAGCGTATCTTTGGTCTTATGCCTGTATCCTTGGTGGCAGGAACTCAGGAGAGGAAGAACTCTGGTGTCTTTCCACACTGTGGCAGTGAGTTGGCCTAGCTGATGGGAGCAAAAGCTGCCTCTTGGCATTTTGGCCAGCTCCTTCACCTTCTTGTGGTGATGAGGGTTTTTTCCTCATTGCTACTGAAGTGGATTGGCAGTCCTTTACTGCCTAACTTCACTGCTCCTGTCAGGTACGTCTTCTCTGCAAGAAGTCTGCGGGCCAACTCCACGGACGTATATAGTTTGTCTGTGTAGATGCAGTGATACCTGCCAAAGAAGGGTCTAGCCACCTCAAACGCAATGTCTGCCATCGTTGCAGACTTTCCCTTCTTGTAAGGATGGACCATGAAGTTAGCCAGGTAGCCGAATAAGACGATTGTAGTATCCTGGGTCTGCTGACCAGTAATTCTGATAGTACGGGATCTTGGTGAGTCCCATCACCATGTGGATACAAATCCATGCCCTCACCTCCTCCACCGTTGTGACCATCTGTCTGCCAGCATTTCTGAAGTTCTCGTTAGTCCAAGTTGTGATCTGGACAAGTAGTGCCAGTGGAAAGAACTTCAAGAAGTACTTTACTGGGTCTTTCTTCTTATGAAACTTTGGTCCTTGCTGGGGACCTTCGAATGGTTGAATTTTTATCTTTGTCAGAGATTTTGTCCATCCAAGTTGGTCAGGTGGATAGACATCGTCATCAACATGAGGAGGGTCGGGGTCATTGTCTGAGTCTGGAAGAGGGGTGGGCTTTTTTGTCTTCCTCTTCTTTGTTTGGCTGATGCTTCACTGCCGTCTTGGGCACCACTCGTCTTATCTCCAACCTCCTCACCACTAGTCTTCCGTGCCCGAGGTTTCCTCATACATGCCTCCGGTTTGCCACTGCTCCTGTGTCTCCTCCATCTCCTCCTCTGTCTCCTGCTGTCTGGCTTGTTCATCAGAGGTACTCACACAGGTTTCACTCTCCTCCAGAAGGATCTGATTCACAACACCATCTAGGTAGGCCTCTTCCTCACTGTCAGATATGTCAACTACTGCCCGGTAGTGAGTGTTTGTCATAGGGATTCCCACATCCTGACAGCTTCTCCTCAGTGCCTCTTTCATCTCATTTCGTCTTGCCTCCATCATTCTTGCTTGGTATGTGGGATTGTACTTTTGCACAACTGGATGACGTCCTTTTCCCTTCCCCCTTGCCACTTTCTCAACAGGACCTTTGCTGGTCTTTCCCTTTCTCTTTCTCGGTGGCTCCTCCATGATCTCACCCAAGAATAATTCTCTCTCATCCTCCTTCAAACTGAGTTGCAGTTCTCTTGCTTCTCGATTAGACATGTTGGCATTTATCAAAATGGGTGGGCTGGAGCACATTTTTACT